TAATGGAAGTCCTGAAAAAGAATGTGTGTCACCCGGCTGAAGGCCTGATGCGAGGAAATCTTGCAGGCCTCGGCTGACAACTCAGGGCAGAGGTGTGGGTCATGACAGGAAAGGCTCAGTACGAGAGGGCCGCCATTTTAGCCACTGCCAGCAAAGACACATTCAATAAGCTTTCCTGGAACAATGTTGGTCTGTTGAAGAAAACCAAGCGGAATTCCAGTGGTACCTTAAAAACTAATAACCAGGGGTTTTTTTTCCTTTTCCTTATAAAAAAGAGGTGCTGGAACTCTCAAGAAGGAAATGAAGTTTTCAATCTGTATACTGAAAACTCATGAACTTTTAAACATTTTAAAAATAATTTTGTTGAAGAGGTTCCGGAACTCTGTTCCGGTGTGTTGCCCCAGAAAAAAAGCCCTGCTAATAACATTTATTCCAGTATTAATGTGTATGAGACAAAGTTCTCTTCTTCAGATACAATGAAAGAAAGTCATTTACCTCATTACAGGAATTACAGGAGGCCAGCAGGAAAGTGGGAGGGGTTGAGGAGACAGAGGCCTAGTTACAATTCCCCACAGAGAGAATTTCACCTCATTATCCTAGGTCCCTCTCTGCTCAACTTATTGTTCTATCTGAAGATGTGACCTCTGTCTCATGAAAATGCATACTGGAAGAAGAGTAGGTTTTATGCCCCGTTTTTCTCTACCCTAAGGAGTCTCAAAGCAGCCTTCCCCGCAACAGTCACTTTGTGAGGTAAATGGGGCTGAGAAAGTCGCAAGAGAACTGTACTTCATCTGGAGGAGCAGGCTTCATCTGGAGAAGAAGTAGGGAATCAAACCTTGCTCTTCAGATTAGGTAAAGGTAAAGGTTCCCTGGCTCGAAAGCCAGTCGAATCCGACTCTAGGGTTGCGCTGCTCATCTCCGTTTCAAAGCCGAAGAGCCAGCGCTGCCCGAAGACATTTCCGTGGTCATGTGGCCGGCATGACTAAACGCCAAGGCGCACGGAACGCTGTTACCTTCCCACCGAAGTGGTCCCTATTTATCTACTTGCGATTCCTTGCTTTCGAACTGCTAGGTTGGCAGGAGCTGGAACTAGAGATGGGAGCTCACTCCATCATGCGGCACACTCAGGTCTCGAACTGCTGACCTTCCACAGCCTGCACCACACTAGTATTTAAAGTGTTAGTCTTTAAAGGTGCCATTTAAAGTGTTAGTCTTTAAAGGTGCCATCGGATTTCAGTTTTGTTCTCTGGGAATGAGCCTGTCTTGCACCAGGGCTCCTAGCAGGAGTTGTGGCTGTTCAGAAAAGCGGACCTTGCATTGTGAAGGCCTTTTGAGGAAAGCAGCAGACCTTTGGAACGGACCCAGAGCTTGTCAGAAGCTAGTGTTGCTGCCTTCCAAACACGTGTTACATGATGGATGAACTTGATCTCACTAAAAGTCAGGCAGCTAGCTTTTACTGGAACTTGGCCATTCAGAGATTGAAAGGTAAGCACTGGTATCGTGAAGTAAGACTGGACCTTTTCCTTTTATAAGTACCCAAGGGTACATTTTTATTGATTTTTCCCATTATAAACTACAAACATACATAGCAACAGGCAAACACCTACCTACAACTAACAAACACAAAACATACAGCGAGAGGCTTATATTTCATATTCTATCTTCGATTAACTATTTGTTAATTTTCTATCCCCTTATCTATCTTACTGGTTTTCCCTTTTCTGTGTTCTCAAATTTCCACAAATCAAGTTAGTACGCTTATGTTATACCAGTCATAAAATCTCTTCCAAGTGTTCTGAAAAGTCCATTCAGTTCCAGCTCTCATCTCTAATGTCAGTTTATCATTCTCAGCCATTTCAGTTTATTCACAAATTCTTGTTTCATTGGAGTCTCCGTTGTTTTCCAGTATTTAGCATATAAAATTCTTGCAGCTGTCGAAAAGTGAACAATCAAATACCTGTCTGTTTTATCAAAATCTTTCGGAAATATATTCAGTAACAGTGTCTCTGGAGTAAAAGGAACATTAGATCTTATTATTTTTTGCATTATTTCATGTACCCATTTCCAGAATCTTTTTGTTATATCACATAACCACCACATATGATAAAAAGAACCAATCTTATTCTTACATTTCCAACATTTGTCTGAATAATTAACATTTTGTTTAGCTAATCTATATGGTGTAATATACCATCTATAAAACATTTTATACATATTCTCTTTATAGGATACTGCATTAGTCAGTTTAACATTTTTCAGCCAAATCTGCTCCCATTCCTCTAGATTAATATTACAACCAATGTTCTGGGTCCATGCAATTATATTTTTTTTCACAATTTCATCTATCATCACATCATCTAGTAAGATCTTATATAATTTCTTTATCACTTTACTTTCTGCAGTTAATATAGTTTCTTCCAACTTAGTTATTTTATTATTAAATCCTAGCTTCTTGTCCTTCAGGTATATTGATTCCAATTGTGCTTTTCTCCACCAGGATATCTGTTCTGGTAATTTAAGGTTATCTTTTTTATCCAAAATGTCCTGGTATCTTAACGGCTCTTCTCCTTCATAAACATTAGGTAAAGTAAATGCCTCTAAAGGTATTATCAGTCTCGATCTTTTAGTATAAAAGTTTTTATGTATAGAGTCCCAGACCTTTAGTAATGCCGCTCTCAACCAGTGCTGCTTAATATACTTTTGGGAGCCTAAGTAAGACTGGATCTTAATTGGCAGTCATGCCAGCCCTGAAGGAATGCAGCCTTGCTTTTCTGTTCTAGTCAGCAACCAAAAGAATTCAAGACAAAAAGGACAACTGTCCCCCCACACACAAACACACATGGGAAACCTATCACGTTCAACTCTCTCAGGCAAGGAGTGAGTTCTGGCTCATGAAAACTGCTTTATTATTTTTATTATTAACTTTATACCCTGCCTTTCTCCCCAGTGGGGACCCAAGGCACCTCACATTGTTCCCCTCTCTTCCATTTTATTCTCACAACTCTGTGAGGTAGGCTAGGCTGAGTGTGTGACTGGCCTAAGGTCACCTGTGGCAGAAGTGGGGATTGGAACCTGGGTCTCTTAGACCCTAGTTTAACCACTACGCCAGCTGGCTCGCACTCATGCTGTAATATGTTTTGGTGCCACCATTCTGGTTTTTTGGAATCTCTTAAAAACTGCTGGAATCTCTTTAAAACTGCTTCTGTTCCTGGGGTGTGTTTGCGTGAAAAGAGCCCATTGCTTACATGCAAGGGAGTGAAGAGCTCTTTGGCCTGTGTTTTAGTCTGGTGATGGCTTGGGCAGAATCAATAGTGCTTGTCCTCCGCTCTTTCCAAAACTCAATGGGCTCTGTTAAAAACTACTTGACAACATAGTGTGGTAAGGATTAAGAAGAGGAGGAGGAGATTGGATTTATACCCTGCCCTTCACTCGGAGTCTCAGAGCAGTTTACAAACTCCTTCCCCTCCCCACAATAGACACCCTGTGAGGTAGGTGGGGCGGAGAGAGCTCTTTCGAGAACTACCCTTTCAAGGACAGCTCTTGTCAGAATTATGGCTTGCCCAAGGTCATCCAACAGGTGCAAGTGGAGTGGGGAATCAAACCCAGTTCTCCCAGATTAGAGTCCGTGCACTTCACCACTACACCAAACTGGCTCTCAGTTTGGTGTAGTGATTAATATGGGGCACACAGCACTTTGTATCCAGCCTGAAGTTCTGGTGCTCTAGGTTCGAATCCCTGCTGTGTCAGGATGTAACTGCATAGGACAGGTCAAGATCTGAATTAGTGAGAGGTGACTCACTGAGGCTCATCACACCCTGCCACAGATTCTGTTAGTCTTGAAGGTGCTCCTGGACTCTTGCTCTTTTCTTCTGCTTAGGATTGCACTGTAAACCGGCTCAGGATTTCTGTTTGTCTTGATATTGGCTAACAGTCCTAGGTGGATAAGGTCGCCTCTGCATTTGTCTTACACCCAGGGCCATCCCACAGAGCCCAGACTTAGCCCCAGGGGACGACTACAGCACTTGCAACCCTGCCCCGCGCATGAACAAGCTCACCCGACCGAGCCCTCCCACCACCCCCTATAGATCCATCTATAGGGGGTGGTGGCCCTCCCCGTCTTTTTGCAAACCCTGTTGAGGAATAGCAGTAAACAGCAAACACAAAAGCCTAGCATTCCATCGCCGCGTTATGATTGGCTCCCGCTCCTTCAAGCGAGCCAATCCAGCCCTCCCTTTGAAAGGAAGCCGTTCCGAGAGGAGCCTGGGCGGCGCTCACGACCGCCTACAGTTAAGCCATTCGCAGCAGCGACCCGAGTTCTCGTTGTAAGGCGCGTTTTCATTGGCCGCTTCGTTCTAAGGGGCGCTTCCTACTTCCCTCCCCCATGTATTTCCTTTAGTGGATCGCAGCAGGATAAATCGGCGACCGAGCACAGAGGCGGGCTCTGCAATGTGGCGCGTAATCCGAATTTAGCGAGGCGGCGGAGACGCCGGGCTCGCTGCAGAAGGTGAGGCGCGCTGAGCATTGTCATGTCAGAACCGCGTCGGGCGGCGCGGTGGAGAAGCCCCCCCCCCCCTTCTGTTCTGTCCCAAACTCGTTCTGAGCCGGGCCGGGCTAAGAGCGAAGCGGGTCTCCTCCCATTGGCTGCTGTGGTTCCACTCACGGCTGTGACGTCGCCGAGCTGTTCGGAGCACGATGATGCCTTTCCTGACGCAGGAGGAGTAGCCTCTTCCCCCGCCCCCTTGCCAAGGCACGTGATCCGAACAGGGGCTTTTAATTGGGGAACGAATATAGAGGGTTTTAAGGAAATATGCAATATGCTTCGATCTTTAAAATGCCACTTTAAAACTTTGCATGGAATCGGTTTTTTGTTAAATTCATGCACACACTTGTGCATACAATATGTGTGTGTATGAATCAATACTTTTAAAAAATGTCAGTGGGATATTGTATATCATACAAATATTCGCATGCGTGTGTAAAATTTCCTGATGGGTAGCTGTGTTCGTCTGTTGTAGCAAAATAAAACAGGAGTCCAGAGGCAGTTTGTTGGGATATTGCAAATGTCACACTTCAGTCAAGAAAGAGTTAGCCTGTTTATGTAAGCTAACTCTTAGCTAGTTAGCTTAGGACCAGTTAGGTGTTAGGCAATGTTCCCTCTAAGCTTTGGAAACTTGTGAGCAAAAATTCTACTTTGTGAGCTCCTGGCATTAAAGTTGTGAGCGAGAGATTTGACTGCTGCAGAAATTAGTTTGCCTCTGGAGCCCCTCCTTCCTGAGCGAAGACAAAAATGTGTGAGCCGGAGGCGAAAAAACTGTGAGCTAGCTCACACTAACTCAGCTTAGAGGGAACACTGGTGTTAGGCACATATTTCTGCCAGAGAAAAGTTGAGATTGGGAACTGCTGTTGGTGGATCAATAGTTTGGAAGATACTACATGGTAATCTTCACATACACAAGGGATAGAGCTTTGGGGAAACTTTCCTTTTTTATATATATATATATATTTATTTTCTGAAACAACTACAAGAAAATAGGGAAAGGGAACTATACACTACAGGAGAAAGTAAAAAATAACACTAAAAACCCAAGAGGTGGTGATCATATAATGGTTACAATACCATGCTAATAATAAAAAATAAAAAGATATTTGGTTACATTAAATGTGATCATTAAAACAGTTTAGATGATTCAAGTCCAGGACTACTGACTTCTTAAAGAACAATACTAAAGAACGCTTATATATTAATAAAGAACAAACAAATTCAGACTTCAGAAAAAATTAGCATTTCATCTTTTGTATTTTCTTTCCCTCAAACGATATCCTTGCTTGGGGGCTGCTGCCACACATTCCGAGTCTGATTCTTCTCCAGTAAGTGTTTCATTTTCACTTCCCTCATGACTCTCCTCTTCTTCCCCTGTTGGTCTGAGTTGTTGCTGCAAGAATGCATTGGCTTTCATAACAGAGTCAATTTTTCCCCTTTTATCTTTGAATTTGAATAGTATGCATTCAGGTAAGATCCATTTGTAGGGGATGTTATTCTTTTGTAGAAACAAAGCCAAGTCTCTGTATTTTTTCCTCTTCTTTCGTATTTCAAAGGGAATGTCTTTCAAAACTCTTATCTCCTTGCTGTCAATTTTAAGAGTAGTTCCATTTATTGCTTTTAGTATCTGGTCTCACTTGTCTTCAGGAGAATCTAACCACCACCTCACTGGGCAGATTCTTCTTCTTTATGAATTCTGAATATGACATATAGATCACATCCATCTCGCTTTGAAGAACATCCGCTTTTAAATCTGCAACCGGTCTCAAGGCATCAATCATAATCTGCTTTAGATTCTCCCCTTTAGTCTCAGGTACCCCCTGAAATCTCAGAATAAAGCTTGCCTTTTCCATTTGTAGCTGTAAAAGCTGGGCTTCATCCGAGTTTCTCTTCTTTTCCATCTTCTGCATTTGTTTTTTACAGTTTTTGATCTTGGCATCCACTTCTTTAAGGTTCTCAGCTGTTTGCTCTGTTTTTTTTAATGTTCTCACTTAGTTGCAGTTGCTGTGCAGCAAAATTTCCGTTGAGCGTCCTCATTTGCTCCAGCAGGGGTCACAAATAATAATAAATAAAGCATCCATTAGCATCTTAGAGAAGTCTATAGTTACATCCAATGCTCCCTCTAAGCTGTGGAGTCTTGTGAACAGAAATCCTACTTTGTGAGTGACTGGCATTAAAGTTGTGAGCCAGCGATTTGGCTACTGCATAAATTAGTTTGCTCTGGAGCCATCCTTCCTGAGCTGAGGCAAAAATGTGTGAGCCGGAGGCTAAAAGACTGTGAGCTAGCTCACACTAACTCAGCTTAGAGGGAACACTGGTTACATCTGGTTGCGTGACCGCACTCGCTGGGCTGGCACATCCTGAAGAAGGTTTAGGTTTCAGATGCTTATCTTTCTCCATCTTTTTCAGCGACATCTTTGAGGATGTTTACATTCAAAGTAAAGTTGCCAAAAGTCTCTAAAGTCTGCAAACCGCCTAGGAATCTCTTGTAAGTTTCTTAATATAGTCTTTTTTCGCTTTAAGTTCCGTCCCCCTTCTGCTTAATGTCCGTTTTTATTTTAATGGGGGAGGTTCCTCCCCCCCCCCCCGCTTACTTTAAGGGGGATTTTCAGCCAGTTCTCTGGTTTTTGCTTCAACCAAAGTCACTTTTAATGTAGTTCAAGTAGATCATGCCATTTATTGTTTAAAACGCTCGACCTCCACATGGTTGTCCCGGTGTGCGTCTCTGAGTCCAGTACTGGAACACAGCGGCAAGACCGTCGGGGCATTGGAGTGCCTCAATCCACCGGCAGCGTGCCGGGGGAGAGGCGATCCTCGGCGCCCCATGGCTAGGAACCCTTCACAAGGGCTCCAGGGGGGCGCGTACAATTACACCCCCTCTCCTCCGCCAGTTCACGGATCACGGAGCTCCCAAGAGGCACGTCCACCATTAGATCGCCAAAACCGGAAGTTGGGAACTTTCCTTTCCCAAACTCCCACCCACTCACACCTCTCTTAGACCTGTGATACATTGATGACATTTTTATTGTCTAGATACATGGTAAAGAAGCCCTGGACATTTTCCACCAGGCATTCAACTGGTCCAGATCATGGGAGGTCTATTCTGCTATGGTCAGGCTTCACCTGGAGTACTGTGTCCAGTTTTGGGCACCACATCTTAGAAAGGATGTTGACAAGCTCAAGCGTGTCCAGAAGAGGGCAACCAGGATGGTGATAGGGTTGAAATCCAAGTCTTATGACGAAAGGCTGAAAGAGTTGGGTCTGTTTCGCCTGGGAAAGAGAAGGCTTAGAGGGGACAGGATTGCAGTCTTCAAGTATCTGAAGGGCTGTCATGTAGAAGATGGAGCAGATCTATTCTCTCTTGCTCCGGATTGCAAGATTAGGTCTAATGGGTGGAGATTACAATGGAGTCATTACCGGCTAAATATCAGGAGAAACTTCCTATCTGTAAGAGTGGTTGAGCAGTGGAACAGACTGCCTCGGGAAATGGTGGATGCTCCTTCGCTGGACGTTTTCAAGTGGAGGCTGGGCGACTATCTTTCGGGTCTTAAATGGGCCACTGCACTCAAACTTGGTTCTTACATCTGTTGGTAACACCTTTATTATCTGTATGCCAATTTGCTGCTTTTTACATGTCCTACCAAATGTGGTACTCCAATCTTAGCTGTATTTACTTATGCATCTTCTTGACTCTTTCTGGCAACTAACAGCAAATTAACATGTGTATAGCTGCTGCTCATACAGGACGTAGAACCTTTGCTGTCCTGAAGTTTGTCTTTATACAAAGGATTTGTGGACTTTACTTGAGTTTTCCGTTTTTGTCAAGTACTTTTGGATCCTAGCTCTTTAAGAATATATAAGGGTTTGTTGAACTTTAACGAAGATTTAGAACTGTTTGAATTGTTTTGCACAATATAATCTTTCTGATTTTGTTCGTTATTCATCCACGGAGTGTCTTTATATTGATACACTCTCCTCCCGGGAGCTCTCATTTTGATATACAACCACCTGGAGGTTGGCAACCCTTCTCACACAGCTCCATTTGCCATAGATAATGCAGACCAGGGGTCATTTCCTGCAGGAGCGCACAGGAGCGAAGCTCCGGCAGTAAAGAGCCCAGGGGGCGGGCACATGCAACAAGCCCCACCCCCTGCTCCCAGCAGCCCAGTCAGAGCAAGAAGCATCCAGGTAAGTGGCAGAGCTCCCCCCAGCCCCCCGGTCCAAAACAGTCCAGTGGCACCTTTAAGACCAAGTTTTATTCAGGTACAAGCTCTCCCTCCTCTGTGAGGACAGATCTGCATGTTCCCCCCCCCAATAGCTAGCAATCCAAAACAGTCCACTTCCGGTGATGTCAGTGGGTGTGGCATATGCGAATAAGTTATGCTAATTAGTTATGCTAATGAGCCCCCGCACCTCTTTTTCTACGAAATGACCCCTGATGCAGACTATAAATCCTTTAAGACAGAGTGATGTTAGCTGTATCTTTGTGTAAACTACCTCTCATGTACCACTGCAGCTCACTTTTAGATGGTAGCCATGTTGGTCTGAAGCCGAAGCGCTAGATTTGAGTCCCGGAGCACCTCAGTGACCAGTGAAATTTCCAGGGCATGAGATCTGCTGAACATAAGAACATAAAAGAAGCCAATGTTGGATCAGGCCAATGGCCCATCTAGTCCAACACTCTGTCACACAGTGGCCAAAAATACCAGGTGTCATCAGGAGGTCCAGCAGTGGGGCCAGGACACTAGAAGCCCTCCCACTGTTGCCCCCACCGCAAACACCAAGAAGACAGAGCATCACTTGCCCCAGACTGAGAACCCCTATCTATACCTTGTGGCTAATAGCCACTGATGGACCTCTGCTCCATATGCTTATCTAATTCCCTCTTGAAGCCGTCCATGCTTGTAGCCGCCGCCACCTCCTGTGGCAGTGAACGCCATGTGTTCAGAATCCCATGCTGAAGGGAGTTTTGACTCTCAAAAGCTTATACCCTGAGAATCTTGTTCGTCTCTACCTGGTTCTATGGAACTTGACTCTAGGTCATTTGCAGTTCAGTATTCCTGTAATAACAGGTGCGGTTAGAGAAGAAGAAGAAGAGATTGGATTTATCCCCCTGCCCTTCACTACACAAAAGTCTCTCAGAGTGTTTTATAATCTCCTTGGGTTGGATAATTAAAATTCACTGTTGAAATAGTCAGTATATTTTGTGACAATATATTATTTTTGGCAAGGTGTCAAACAGTGGCAAGCAGTCAGCCCAGCACGAGACATGCAAATCATGGGATAGCAAGTCACCCAGTGGTTGCTGGTGTGCTTGGCCCTGAAGAGTCTTCCTTCAAAGGCCAAAAGACCTCTGGAAAAGACCCTGCCCCATCCCCCTGCCTATTACTGACAGAAACCAAGGCAGCAAAGCGGGCAATACTGTGCTGTTGCCTAGCAACTTCCATTGAGGGCATTTGTTTCTTAAAGCTACAGGCACTGCTATCATTTTGGAGGGTTTCAATCCCCCCATTTTGGTGTTTTGAGTGTTTTGTTGTTATTATTGTAGGTTTCAGATTTACCTGGAGCTTTTCTCAGGTTTGTAAAAAGATTTGTTTTGTTTGTCCATGACTCCAGTCTCTGGATTTAATCTACCACAGATGGAGCCATGTTGACAGTTAGATGGATCGATCTATGATGCCTGGTTCTGAGAAAATAGACAGAAAGAACTTTCCCTCTCTTGGGGCACCCAAGGAAATTGGTAGGCCGGAGATTCAGGACAGACACATGGAAGTACTTCTTTCTGCAACGGGTAGCTGACTACTGGAACTCATGGCTGCTGGTTGTAATTCTCACTGGCTCAAACGGATTTTAAAGAGGCTTGGAGAGGTTTATCAGTTTATAAGTCTATTGCTGATTAGCTTGAATGAGGCCTTCAGAGTTTGAGGCAGAATACCTCTGAATGTCAGAGGCCGGGGGAATCAGTCAGCAGGCCCGTGGGCTTCTCTGTGGCATCTGACTGGGGTCGCCAGCCTCATGGTGGGGCCTAGAGATCTCACATATTACAGCTTGTCTCCGGGTGACAGATCAATCTGCCTGGAGAAAATGGCTGCTTGGTAGGATGCCAGACTCCCCCGTTGGGGAGGGGGTCCCCTGCTGCCAGACCCCACCTCTCTGCTGTGGATCAGCAGATGGGAGAATTACCCCCCAAATGAGGGAGGAACAGTGGACATTTCCGCAATGTTTCTGTGTGACTTCAACATGGCCCGGAAGTGTTGTAGGCACATCGGGGACATCAGGTCGACACTCTGGTTTTTGCGCAATATCTCTATGGTAGAAGCTAATTCTACCATAGAGTTTTTGCCTCAAAACCAGAGTGTCGCCCCGACATGCCTACGTCACTTCTGGGTCACGTTGGAAGTCACGTGGGTGCATCGCTGAAACATGCAAAGAACCTCCTGGGTCCTGGTAAGCTCACCCCCACCCCACCCCCCGTCAGCTGCCTTAGCGACCTGGCAAACCTACTTGGGGGGGGGGGTGGACTCTGGGGCATTATGTGCTGCTGAGGTCCCTCCTCTCCCCAAACCCTGCCCTCGGAAGACTCCTCTCCCTCAAATCTCCAGGAATTTCACAACCCAGAGTTGGCAACACTAAATCTGACTGTCCACTATTGGAAAGTAACAGCAGCATGTCCTGTGGTTGCAATAGCACTATAACAACAATAGAATGAACAATCACAACATATACTTCTGATGGATTATATAATCAAAAGATAACAGTAGAATTTGAACAGAAGTTTTATCTCACATATAATGTTCTCAGAAACAAAGAAGCAGGGTTCTTCCTTCTGATACTCTTTATGTGTACATTCTTATTGTGTATCAGAGTCCATAAATAATAAATAGGCATCTTCCGTTTTTAAATGCTGACGGTTTTTCTAGATAATTTCCACGTTTCGAGTAGAAACCTTCTTCTAAGCAGATTCCATAATTCTAAAACTGTAGAGAGTATACAATAAATTATAGACAGTATCATGAAATCCAGTATAAAAAACCTCAGGGTGCCAAAGGTCACCGAGTACACACCAACCAACAATGTCAAAATTTATAAGCAAAACTCCCTAATTTCAAATCCACAGTATCAGTATTTATCTTAAGGTGAGGCAAGAGTTCACAAAATATATGTTGCCAGTGGCGCTGCCTTTTACTCTTGGGTAGCCCCAATAGCGGGGCACCCCACTTCTAACCAGATCAGAGACCCACAAAACTCAGGCCAAGGAAGGCACTCTTGGTTCTGAAACACAGAGCTAGCCACAGCTCTGAAAAAGGGGTCTCCATTTTCAGGTGACAGGCAACCTCAGAGGAAGCCTCCAGTCTTCCCTCTCCACCCAGCAGAGATTATTGCTTATGGAATAACAATAAGTTCTAGCAGGTAAAGTATCTACATTTCTAAAGTCTATTTAATTCTTTGTCTGAATACTTGTCTTTTCTACTCTGTCCCTCAAGATACAGGGATAAACCAATCAAGCATTCAAATTATTAACAATCCTTCCTGACACTAATCAGGGATGTCTCCCACCTTTTGTTTACCCTGGCCAGGACCATTAGTGGTCAGATAATCCATTCAACTAGCCACCCAGCACCTGGCTTCAGTTGTTAAATCCAGACCCTGCCTCTCTGAAAGCTCATTGGTCACATCTAGGCCTTGCCCATCCTGATGCCACACACCCCTGGGACTCATCATTGGTCCAGGAAACCTATTGTTCTCACCTGAGACCAGCCCCCAGGACTGGCCATTGGCCTGCATTGTCTTCCATAGGGTATATCCCAGTGTAAACATGGCCTCAGACGGTGTGTTTTCTGCCATAATCCAAAATGGCAGTCCACCCCTGAACTCTCTGAGTTTAGGCCACAATCCATGAACCTCTGCACACCTGGACAGGTTGTATCACCCCTCTATAAGCTATCAATCACCTCTGCTTCCTTATAGTTCTATATTGTGTGTGTGAGTGTTTGAATATTGTTTGTATGCTTGAGGATGTTTAGTAAAGAAATCATTATTTTAGCCACCCAGTTTCTGTGTCTGTTCCTGGGTTCTTGGGAATTCTAACTCTGGTATACACAGGTCAGATCCTATAGATAAGCCAATTGCATATTAATAATTATAATTCCCCATCTTTATTAAATAATAGAGCAATTTGGCTAACATATATAAACGGGCTACAGCTCTGCAGTCTGAAGGCATCAGAAGTGTGTGTTGTGATTGTTCATTCTATTGTTGTTGTAGTGCTATTACAACCACAGGACATACTGTTGTTACTTTGTTGTGGTTGATATATTTGTCCACTATTGGCCACAGGATGCTGGACTAGATTGGTCAGTTCCAGCAGGGCTCCTTGCATGTTCTCCTGTATGGATGTGGCTTGACCCTCAGTCTTTCGATTCCCCCTTTATGACTGATTTGATATGTCTGGTTATTTACCCGCATTTATTTCTTTTGCTGGGATTGTAAACATGTGTCTGTAAGATGGCTCTGTTTTAATTGCGTGTCTCCAAACATGAAGTCATTGTACTCTGTTCGAAGTTTGTTTAAAAGTTGGTCTGGGAGTGGGATGGGGAAGACAGGGAACAGACCTTTTGGTAGGCAAGAAGTCCTATAACAGGGAATCGCAATAATTATTCACTGGATTTACATCTTTCAGCCCTGCCTGCTCTTGTATATAAATATAGTTGGAAAATGATCTGAATTAGGAGTCGTTATTCTATTTACTTTTTATACCTTATAGCCGCAGCAGTGTTATCAACACGTACCGATCCTTTCCCCCTTCTTCTCACCCATTCCTCCATTTTTATTGTATAAAGAGGCACTTTGGGAACGCAGACCTATTATATAGGCCGGTTTTGATTGGTTTTAAGTAGTCACTCGTTGTGTAGAAACAATGTATTGGCCAAAAATATGAATATTTGGGGGGGGGGAGTGGTTAAAAGGGAGGGGCTGTCAGTGTGGAGGTATGTCTAGAGTGCCATGCTGGGGGAGGCCTGTGTTCATATCTCCACTTGGATGTGAGGCTTATGGGGCACCGTCTCAGCCTGTCGTACCTCACAGGATTGTTGTGACAGAGTCACATGTGCTGTCTGCACTCCTTTGAAGGAAGGGCAGGATAAAAATGAAAGATAAATAAGGTTACTGTCTCCCCTTTGTTCTACCAGTCTGGTGTAATGGTTAGGAGTGCGGACTCTAATCTGTTTGATTCCCCGCTCCTCCACATGCAGCTGCTGGGTGACCTTGGGTAAGCCACAGTTCTTGCAGAGCTGTTCTCTCAAGAGCAGTTCTTTGAGAGCTCTCTCAGCCTCACCTACCTCACAGGGTGTCTGTTGTGGGGAGAGGAAAGGAAAGGAGATTGTAAGCCGCTCTGAGACTCCGAGTGAAGGGCGGGGTATAAGTTCCATCTCTTCTCTTCTTCTTCCTAGCCAGATACCATGCGTCACTCACGAGCAGGCCCGAGCCCCAGGAGAGGTTCCACCACTTCGCCTCGACGCCGCGGACCAACATCTCCACGGCGAGGACAACCACGGACATCTCCACGACAACGCCCCCGGGCGGCGCCTGCTGAAGGACGGCCAGGTAAACGCTACTGAATCCCAGCTTTGGAGGCCACGGCGAATTGATGAGAAAGGAACCGGTGACCTTTCATCGACTCGCCTGCCTCTTCTTAACAGCCCCCGGCTTTATCTATCATATCGTTATCCTGCCCACCCTCTAAGGAAACTCAGGGTGGTGTTGATGCTTTTCTCTCCCCCCCCCCCCCCCCCAGTCATTTTTTCCTCACAACAGCTCTTTGAGGTAGTTGAAAGGGTGTGTGTTACTGGCCACCCAGCAAGCTTCAGGGCTGAACAGGGATTTGAACCCGAGCCTCCCTGGCTAAAATCTTGTGTCAAGGGAAGTCTCCTAGAACAGCGGTGGGGTCAGAACTGGTACAACCCCGCAATAATTAGTTGATGTTGAACAAAAAGTTTGGGAATACGTACCCAGTAACATGGATAAAAGTGTTAGGGCTGTCCCTTAAAAAACACTTCAGGGTGGTGCTTGGGGAATTCGGATAATATGCCTGTGACTTTGATTAAAGAGACTCATGGTCGTAATTGGTCATCACAGAGGTTTCTCTGTCAGCATTTTTAGCTTCATCTGTCACAAACCAGGAGCGCAAACGATTGTCTTCTTGTCAGCAGGATGATTTGGCTTTGAAGCACACGCATGCCTTGGATCGTGGCCTAATGGATCCGAATGTTGAGTGGAGTCTGGGGCTAATTAGCAGCCCCTCTGTTTTTGTTGTGGCTCAGATAAACATTCCTCAAAAACACGGGCTCATCTTGGGAGGCGCCAGGATTTACAGAGAGCGGACTTTCCCACTGCTCCTGGGGAGTAGCCTTCGATTGAAGCGTTGCTCCTTAAAAAGGATATTATAGCTTTGGAAAAAGTGCAGAAAAGGGCAACTCGAATGATAAAAGGGTTGGAACACTTTCCCTATGAAGAAAGGTTAAAAGCACTTGGGGCTCTTTAGCTTGGAGAAAAGACGACTGAGGGGTGACATGATCGAGGTTTATAAGATTATGCATGGGAAAGAGCAGGTAGAGAAAGAGGTACTTTTCTCCCTTTCTCACAATACAAGAACTCGTGGGCACTCCATGAAACTGCAGAGCGGTCGGGTTAGAACGGATAAAAGGAAGTACTTCTTCACCCAAAGAGTGATTAACACATGGAATTCACTGCCACAGGAAGTGGTGGCGGCTACAAGCATGGACAGCTTCAAAAGGGAATTAGATAAGCATATGGAGCAGAGGTCCATCAGTGGCTATTAGCCACAAGGTATAGCTAGGGGCTCTGGGGCAAGTGATGCTCTGTCTTCTTGGTGCTTGGGGGGGGGGTCAACAGTGGGAGGGCTTCTAATGTCCTGGCCCCACTGCTGGACCTCCTGATGGCACTGGTATTTCTGGCCACTGTGTGACACAGAGTGTTGGACTGGATGGGCCTTTGGCCTGATCCAACATTGGCGTCTCTTATGTTCTTATGTTCTTAAACCACTTCTAGCTCCGTAGGGCCTACTCAGCCTGTGATGGGCTTGATCACTGTTACAATGGAAGGTCTGTGTTTTCACCTTTCCTCCAAGGAGCGATGTACAAACTTCTGTGATTTTCCTCACAACAACCCTGTGAGGTGGGTGGGTGAGAGTGCGCGACTGTCCGAGGTCATCCCTCTGACCTTTCAGGCGGAGCAGGGATTTGAACCCAGCCATCCCATCCAAGTATCAAACCTGACTAGCTTCTGAACTCTGGTGAGATTGTACATTTAGGGCTGATCTCCCGAATACATCAGGTGTTTCCAGTGACTCTTCGCCACTGGGTTTCTTCCCCTCAAAAATCCATTTTAGTCCACCTGGACCCGGATAGCCCAGACAAGCCCGATCTAGTCAGAGCTTGGAAGCTAAGCAGGGCCGACCCTGGCAAGTATTTGGATGGGAGACCTCTAAAGAGGACCAGGGCCGGGGAGACCAGAGGCAGACTATCAAGCCACTTCTCTGGACGTCCTCCATGCCCCAGTAGGAGTCGCCAGAGGTCGCCATGACTTCCAGGCATAGGCAGACACACACACACACACACACAAAATACAAGAAATACCTCCCCCAATCCATTTCATTCCCATCCCTAGCTCTTGGGCTAGCCAGGCTTCCTTTCTTAGAACTCACGTTGCATGTTCTGGCAATCCTCTTCCCACACAGTGCGGCGGCGAAGATACCGGCCCGGCCAGCGGGCCATGCTAGAGATCCGGAAGTACCAGAAGAGCACCAACCTGCTCATCCAGAAGCTGCCCTTTGCCCGTGTGGTGAGTCTGCAGCGAGAGTCCCCAGCCGTTTTGAGCCTGCGGAATTCTCACACAGGGTGGTGGGCGCAGCTACAAAATGGCTGCCGTGGGAGGCGGAGGCAGACATACACACACACACACAGGGGAAGGCCAAGTGCAGGAGGGTAAATTAAAAAAAAGTCTACTGGAAAAGAGGAGTGGGAGAGAATTAATTAAACTGACACTGTGGTGGGAGCTGCCGCTGAAATGTTTTTAAAACTGTGCACAGCCAATCAGATTTCCAGGGGCCAGGGAGATGCCCTGTTGGGCAAAAAGCCCCACCCGTTTTTTAAAAATGCCTGGCGGGTAGAGAAGAGAAGAGATTGGATTTATCCCCTCCCCTTCACTACCCGAAGGAGTCTCAGAACAGCTTACAATCTACTTTCCCTTCCCACAACAGACACCCTGTGAGGTGGGTGGGGCTGAGAGAGCGCTTTCGAGGACTGCTCCTGACAGAACAGCTCTGAGAGAACTTGTGACTGACCCAAGTTCACACCGGCAGCTGCATGTGGAGGAGTGGGGGATCAAACCCGGTTCTCCCAGATCAGAGTTCATGCTTCTAACCACTACACCAAACTGGCTCTCTACCAGGAGAGGTGCTGGCATGTGCCATGGTGCCAATGGGCACTCTGTTGGAGACACCTGGTCTACAGGTTGGCTGTGTGTATTGGAAGTGGGTTATTTTGGTGTGTGATCAGGCTGAGTGGCACTTTCAGGCTGTGCACTATATAATCCACTTTCCGCCTGTAGTCCACCTTTCTCACTGAAATATAGTCCATAAAATGGCTTGGGCCAAGAGCTTAAAAGGTGAATTTAGAGGAAGCCAGAGAGGAGGCAACGTGCAGATATTCTGGGACAGGGGTGGACGGGAAAGTCCCAGGGATCAAGGGTAGTGTAAGACAGAAACTCCGTCAAGGGTTGTGCTCCCCCAGCCCAATTTGAGAAAGCACACGGCAGTCTTGTAGAGGAGAATCAGATCTTGTACTTTATTGATCAACAAAGGAGGGAGGTGAAGATCCAATAAGGTTTTGGACCCCACAGCTCTCCCTAAGGTTACAATGGGAGACATAGGGTTTTATACCCCCTATGACAGAAATAAAACATAATTATTGGTTCCATCAAACATTGTCAAATTTCATCACCTATTTCCCATTGGGTTAAGACCTGGGGGGGGGGGTTGTTCCCAGGCAGAAGTTCTTCTTTTCCTAACAGAACAATACACTTTTCTTTTGGAACCTATGAAGCAGCAATGTTGTATCTATATAACTGATATGGTTACAGAGTTCTTACTGTTCTTCATTCTAGCTAGGGTAACTGACATCAGAAACATGCGCAGTTGTAGCTGGCCAGAACAAGCAAGGTCATGGGTAGCATAACTATCAGCATTTCAGCCTTCTTCCCAGCATGCATTCAAACAACAGTCACAAATGAACCAAAGTTAATACTTGAATACATTCATGATGTCAGAATCATATGCATTATGGAAGTGCTAAGCACACCTACTAAGTTAAACCTGTTAGGCAGTGGCAGAGTACAAAGTGGTTCATAAAATGTGCGTACAACAGTAGTGAGGGAGAAAGGGTAAAGTCCTTTGAGGAAACCAGAGACCTTCAGACAGAGAAGCAAAGATCCTGGGTAGGGTCGGGGAGTTGCAAGGCCATAGAATACTTTGTCCTGGGTTCAGCTGACGGGAAGCGAGTGTAGGATTTTAAAGGAAGGGCATCCCATGGCTGGGGAAATGAAAGGAGCTGATGATTTGGGCAGTGGATTGTTGGAGAGGGGGAGGGGCTGAGGCACCGTAAGTGGAAACCAGAGAAGAGAATGTTGCGTTTGTCCAGGTGAGGGACAACCAAGAGCTCTGTGGGTCAAACTGAACAGAAAGTAGTTTGAGACACAATCTAGGGGGCGTCAAGCTTCCCTCTACATAGGGGGCTTTTAGTACATGTAGCTGATTCGCACAGTCTTGATTTCTGCATATTGTGCAAATTTGGTCTCTCTCATGGTGTATCCACAAGGTGGTGCTCTCAGCCTGGTAGAAACCAGGCAGGGAGTTCTCCTTTCCACTTGAGAGAAGGATGTGAGTTTTTAAAGGAAAACTTCTTTTGAAAAGTGGTTCAGTAACCGAGTTAACTGTTTCAGCCTAAAGCTATCCCACGATAGTAGATTCAGGTGGGGAGCCATGCTTGTCTGAAGCAACAGAACAAAATCTGAATCCAGCAGCACCTTTGAGACCAACAAAGTTTTATTCAAGGGTATAAGCTTTCATGTGCACGCATACATCTTCAGATACATGAAGTTACCAGTCCATCCATATAGGTAGAGGGTGAGCAGCAAATCAGCATAGGCATAATAAAAGTTGTTTAACAGAATCCAGGACCAAACTGGAATAAAAAACCTTAGTTTATATGGTCACCATTTGTTTGGGTTTAATTCTGGGGGGGAAAACATAGTGAATGAAATAAATAGATCAGAATTGGAGATTGATGTGCAAGTGCACCCTTCTTAGTTGTGGAATGCTGAGAGTAATTAACTAAGACTCTGTTGTTACGCTCCATCCATCTCCTCTCAAGCATGGTAACGAACAACATCCTTTTCTTTTTGGGGGGGTGATTGGTTGTGCAGTGTTATGTCTCCTGCACAGCCAGTCACACACACCCTTAAAGAAAAGTGTGCTGTTAGTTACCTCCATGCTTGAGAGGAGACGGATGGAGCGTAACAACAGGGTTTCAGTTAATTACTTAATTAACATTTAGTGCTAGAGGCACAAAGCCTCCTCTGTGTGTGTGTGTGTGTGTGTGTCTGTGTCCAATTTTTCTCTTGTCTTTCCTCTAAACACAATTGGTTTAGCCTGAAAGTGGGACACTTTTACGACTGAATTAGAATTTGAATCCAAGACAACTCTTTTAAAAGCCTTTCACTGCCTGTTTCTTTCTTTATAAAAGTTTCTTTTCTCTGAGCTCTGGTCATCTGCATAACCCTATGGCTTTCCTTCCCTTAACTTGCTTATCCCTGCGGAGATGCCGGCAGATGAGATCAAACTTGGGTAAGCGCTGAACTCCCCCATTCGCCTTTACAAATATGATAACAATGAATTGATGCTTCCAACTTTGCAGGATACTGGCTACTTTTCTTGCAGATGTTTGCAAAATAATAAACATTAAAGCCGAAAGTTTGAACTGGCAAGCTAAACAGCGAAATTTAAATTGTGGATTAAACAAAATCAATGGCGGGGTTGAAATGAATGGACATAATCCCCAGTGCGGGTTTGAGAGACGTGCGGGTCTTGTGTCCAGCAGTTCTAGCCTCCTGAAGAGTGTGGAGCAGCGATACTCACCCAGTGGCTCCGGAGCCACCTGTGGCTCTTCTGAGCATCGTCCCCCAATGCAGAACCTGGCCCATGGTTCAGGAAACTGGGCAAAGCCCTTGTCCAGTGGCGACTGTGTTGGTGGTTGATTCCCTCCTTGAAATAGCACACTCTGTGACACGGTGGCCAAAAATACCAGGTGCCATCAGGAGGTCCAGTAGTGGGGCCAGGACACTAGAAGCCCTCCCACTGTTGCCCCCCCCCCCAAGCACCAAGAGTACAGAGTATCACTTGCCCCAGCCTGAGAACCCCTATCTATACCTTGTGGCTAATAGCCACTGATGGACCTCTGCTCCATATGCCTACCTAATTCCGTCTTGAAGCCGTCCATGCTTGCAGCCGCCGCCACCTACTGTGGCAGTGAATTCCATGTGTTAATCACTCTTTGGGTGAAGAAGTACTTCCTTTTATCTGTTCTAACCCAACTGCTCAGCAGTTTCATGGAGTGCCCACGAGTTCTTGTATTGTGAGAAAGGGAGAAAAGTACCTCTTTCGCTACCTGCTCTATCCCATACTACTGGCAATAGAGCCTGCGTCTCCCAGGAGCATAGTGGCTACGAGACTTGAGAGGGGAATCCTTCATCAGTCTACAGCAGGAGTCCTCAGCGTGGTGCCTGTGGGTGCCGGGGTGCCCGCCAACACCCTTTCTGGCGCCCGCCAAGTGTTTTTAAGGAGTGGGCGGAGCCCGGTGGCGCTTCTGCCCCGCAAGACTTCTGAGTGACGGTTGGAGATCTGATTGGCTGTGCAGGTTGTTTTGAATGTCGCTTTGGCAGCAGCTGCCCCCACAGCACAAGGAGCTGCACAAGTTAAGTGGCGGCAGCCATTTTGTGGCTGGCTCCGCCTCCTGTGGCAGCCATTTTGAGGCAGCTGTCTTGCTGCTGTGCCCATCGTGCCATGTCAGAATTCCAAATGTGCCCACAGGCTCAAAAATGGGATGGGAGACGGCCAAGGACTACCAGGGTCGTTACGCAGAGGCAGGCAATGGGAAGCCATCTCTGAGCAACTCTTGTCTTGTTAACCATATGGGGTTGCTGTACATCTGCTTAGACTTGACAGCAGTGTTCCCTCTAAGCTAAGTTAGTGTGAGCTAGCTCGCAGTTTTTTAGCCTCCGGGTCACACATTTTTGTCCTAGTTCAGGAAGGATGGCTCCAGAACAAACTAACTTGTGCAGGAGCCAAATCGCTCACTCACAACTTTAATGCCAGTAGCTCACAAAGTAGAATTTTTGCTCTCAAGACTCCACAGCTTAGAGGGAACATTGCTTGACAGCACTTAATAATTGTTATATTTTTGCCATATGTGGACTCCCCCATGGATTTTTTTCCTGTATGGGGGGGGGGATACTTATAGAGTGACAGAGTTGGAATTGGCCATCCAGTCCATCCCCCTGCTCAGTGCAGGATCAGCCTAGAGCATCCCTGACAAGTGTTTGTCCAGCCACTGCTTAAAGACTGCCAGTGAGGGGGAGCTTCCCACCTCCCGAGGCAGCTGGTTCCACTGTTGCACAACTCTTTGCGTAAAAAAAGGTTTTTCCTAATGTCTAGCCCGTACCTTCCCGCCCTTAATCTAAACCCATTCTTCCAAGTCCTCTCCTCGGCTGGTGACAGGAGCAGCTCCCTGCCCTCCTCTACGTGCCAGCCCTTCCATCATGTCCCCCCCTCAACCGCCTCTTCTCCTGACTGAACATTCCCCAGTCCCTCAGCCTTCCCTCACAGGGCTTGGTCTCCAGGACCCCGATCATCCTCGTCGCTCTCCTCTGTACCAGCTCCATTCCGTCCACATCCTTTCTGGAGTGAGGCCTCCAGAACTGCGCACAATACTCCAGGTGCGGCCTGACCAATGCAGTGTACAGCGGGACTAGGACGTCTTGCGATTTGGATGTCATGCCTCTGTTGACTTTGCCCGGCTGTTATAAGAATTACCAAGATGGTGTTGGGAGCCCTCCAAAGCGCTCCTCGTAAAGTCTCTAAGTGGCGTTTTGTGGGATGGGATGGATGTCTGTCTGTTGTAGTAACTTGTGTGGGTGGAGAGAAAACTGTCCCAAACGTGGCACTGGGCATGCCTGTGACCAGCCTGGTGGGCCCACCCGCCCTGTGGTTCTTACCTTTCTCTGCCTCTTTCCCAGGTGCGTGAGATCTGTCTGGACTACACTCGAGGAGTTGACATGCAGTGGCAGGCGATGGCTTTGCTTGCCTTGCAGGAGGTAAGCGTGGGGATGGGGAGGGACCAGGTCTGGGGTTGTATGTACTTGGGCCCAGCTTGACCCATTTGACATCTTTCCAATTGCTGACTGGGGGAGGGGAGGACTGTGAAGGGAACCGGTAGGCAGAGGTTATGGAGAAATACAGAATTAAAATAGAAGGAAAGAAAAATAGAATGAAAGCCAAGTTCTCCTCTTGAGCGGGGCAGGTTGCCTGTGGGCTTGGGCACATTCATTCCGCTTAGAGGATTCATAGTATTTTCTCTGCCGGAGACCTAGAGGAAAAAAATTCCCTTTCCCACCCATCCTGCTGTGTCTTTTTGTTTTTTAATAATCTATTTATTGAATTTTCATTATATAAGAGAGGAAAAAAGATAAATATGATTTACACATCACAATATTTACGATTAAGTACATTAATTAATTATACATTTCATCCCTATCTCATTCGTTATAATAATCCAAATTACCACGTATATCAAGTTTATCTAAGTTGCTCCATTAACAAGGTTTATAACATCTCATAATTAATTGCAGCAACATTCTTACACCTAAACCTTTCCCAAACTAGTTAAACTATTCCCATGGAGCTATTCTATTCCTTTAAATTATTTAAGATCTTATTTCCCATTTTTCTGCTCTTAAAACCAGTTAATTAGAAATCTTTACCTTCCCAAGAAAAAACATGACTTATTGGCCTTTCTTATTCCATAACAATTCAGTCATTATTCCCGACTTAGTCTTTTATTTATGTAATTATAATTAATTATCCTTACATTAAGAGGCCCAGTTGTAGACAAACCACATTTCTTATTCTTGCCATTATATCACCGGTACAGAAAAACATTCATAGAATATTTCTGATCAGGAACTTATTTGCAAAGACACTCTATTTAACTAATCGACTCATGTCTTATTCCTGGTTATTTTAATTATAAAAGACATCTATATAGAGACATTCTGTAATCCAATTAAATTGTCCTATTATTTTATTTTTGTTAATAATTGTAATGTCAGTGAAAGGTTTTATTCCAAAACATGCAAAACACTATACAGAGAGTGGGGGGGGGGAATCAAAAAGGGGTCCAACTAAACAATATAACTCACCCCCATGAAGCTAAACCTCTCTCACCTTACTCACTTATGTGCTAACTATCTTTTTCTTTCCTCCTTTCCCTTTCTTTCTACAACACCATTAAAGCTCTTTCCTTTTTTTCCCCCTTCAAAAAACCATATATACCCAAAAGAGAGACAAAGATTCTATTAACAGCAAACATATCTTTTTTTCTTCCTTCTTCCCCATCTTTCAGTAGTCTCCTTTTTCCTTTCAACCTCTTTTTAAGTGATTTGCATTTTTGTATTCAGAAAATTTAAGGTCCGAATCAATTCTTCCATGTTTCAAACAGGCAATTCTCAGTCTTTTGTTCATTTTGCGTTTCTCTACACCATTCTTTTCTCCTCTTTTACGTTTTTTTTCCTTTTTCTTTTTTCTTCTTGCTGCTTCTGCTGAATAACCTTCTGTGATGACCCCTTAACTGGGGAGGTCTGGGTTTACTTTAAAATGTTCTTTCTGTTTTGTTTTACTCTATATATCCGGCTGCCACCAGGAAATTTTAAAAGGATTTCCAAACCTTTATGCTTTCGCTATTTCTGGGTAGGAGGAAATTTTAAAAGGATTTCCAAACCTTTATGCTTTCTCTATTTCTGGGTAGGAATGTCGAGGGTTTTAGGCATTCACGAGGGTCTATGTGGTCCTGGGAAGTATTTCTTTCAGAGTGGGTAATTTTAAATAAAAGAGGATTTATTGAAGTAATTCACAAATAAAAGATTAACTCATTGTAACCAGGAAGGCTTAAATACTGAACACATGCTTGGTGTATAACACTCTTTTCTCTTTTACTGACAGGGATCTGGGCATGTCACTTTGTAACAATATTTTCCTTAGGCCATATACGTTAACTGTTTCTTATACATTCAACTTCAGCTTATAACTGTTTCAACACAGACGGCTTCTCTCACAGACTTCAGAACTTAACAGCCCCCACAGGGAAGCTTATCCTTCTCTCTCATACATAACTTAACTCCCTTTCAACTGTCTTTTTCAACTGTCCAAACTCTAACAGTCACTCCTGATAGACATTCAAATCATCCACACAGCATCCATTCCAAAACCCCTCCCCCTATCTGTCACTCACCAATCATATCACTTGCCTGAGTCCAGCACTCTAGATTATCATCACAGCCATGCAAACCAAACTTTTAAAGCCACACACACACAGTTAAACATGAAATCATTACACCTTCCAAATTATTTTTTTTCCAATACAAAGTCTTCTGTTTCATTTAAGCCACATCCTGGAGCTTCCTTGTTTTCCAGCGTCTCTTTTCCTATAGTTATCAACTGATTATCAAACAGCTCTCTCTCCTCCTCTTGGGGATCGTTGGAGTCCTCATCAAAACTCTGAATAAGTTGAACGTGCTCTCCGATTTCTCCCTTATTTTGAATTACACTTCTTGGGCTTTCGATCAGGTTTTTGCAGGCATCCTTTACTGCCTGTGTAATTTCCTTTTGCAAAAAAGCCCGAAATTGCTCCCAAGTAAGGGTACCCACCAGTGTCTCTGGTGACTTGAGTGTGGGGGGAGGTTGCCTTTGCACATGGCCCGTTGGCCCCCAAAGAAGGAAGCAGCAGGTTAGCTTTTTATATTTTCTGGTGTGGTTCAAACCCTGTGCACAGGTGATGGTTTTAATATGAAAGGATATCCTCTCTTATATGACTTCTATTACAATAAACTGTTATGTTAAAATGTGTTAAAATTATATGCAACATTTCTATGAGGTTATTCATGTTTTATTGTAGAATAGATAAGCTTGATAAGATAGGATAAAAATGATAATATGTCATGAGAAAATGGTAAAATAAGTCAAGTAGGTTGTTATACTTGCTTTTTAAGCTACCATCTCGTATATTCATTGTATCTACAAGTGTATTTTAATCAAGGATTGTCCTTAATATCTGCAAAATTGCCCTCTGTATTGTGTTTTTGTAATCATGCCTTTTATTCCTTCTCCTCTATTCCTTTTCTTTATTCTATATTCCCTTAAAAAGTTAAAGTAAAATTTATTTAAAAAACCACCATGTGCACAGAAAACTAAACTGAGAAAGCCTGGCTTAATTCTCTTGCTGAGGGAATATCCTGTTGCACTTCCCCCCCCCCCTCAAGTGGTTCTGTGAGAGAGACAAATTCGCCTCAAGGTTTCCACGTGTACCTTCAGCTCTATGAAGTGACAGCTTTCCCCCACATTGCGGTACTTGCATGGGGCACTGCATTTTCCGTCTGTTATCAGCCCACCTGTCTTCATTTTCCTCTCCTTTCATAGGCTGCTGAAGCATTTCTTGTACACCTGATGGAGGATGCCTACATCTGTGCCATTCACGCCAAACGGGTCACCCTCTACCCCAAGGATATACAGCTGGCTCGGCGGATTCGTGGCATTCAGGAAGGATTGGGTTAGAGCCCCTTCTCCTTCCCCTTGGTTGGAGGATCTGTCTCCCGAGACTGAAAGTTGAGAAATCACCCTGGTGGGGGGGGGAAGCTGTTTCTGAGGAGAAGTCCCTAATTTGGGCTTAACGCTTTCTTCGGGACAGAGGACTAAATTGTTCCACTTGGTAATCGAGGTCATATTGGAGGGCCTGATCCAGCCCGGAGTTCAGCCGCAGTATTTTAAATAGAAGTGTTTTTATCTTTCCTGCTTCTTTTGTAAAAAAAAAAAAGTGCTTAAGACTTTGCTGGGTCATGCTCATGGTGTTTTCAAACTATTTTGACTGTTTCTATAAGAGATTTTTATATTGGCGCTTGGCATATCCCCATATTCTGCTCTGTCTCCTCTCTGCAGGCACACAAACGTTAAAATCGTCCTTTTGTTCATTTCTAACCTTTCCATTCCTACCTTCATATTTTTTACCTCATAAATGAGACAATAACGGGTAAGAAGTGGTTGACACTCTCCAGGTTTGGGGTGTGTGTGTGAGAGGGTGTGAATTCTTTATCGAAGCCTGATCCTTGCCTGAAGATGGAGGGATACAGATCCAGCCGGAAATGTAGCCAGGGAAGCCTCTGTGGTGATAAAGTGACCTGAAAACCCCCTCACTCAAGCTCCTTCCTAAAGGCCACGTTGATTCCTGAGAGAGAGGACTCCTGGGTGGAACAAGATGAACATGGAATGGGATGACGATGAAGGAGCTGTTTCAATCTAATTTTATTATGCAGAATGTTGAATAAAGTAGGTTTTATTATCTTTATGTCTCGTCTGTCCTTGCTGGGTGTGGGTGGATGGCAGCGTGTGCTTGATTTGACTGGCTCTGTGAGATTCTAATCCCATAGTCCAGAGGACTATCAGAATCTCTGCCCTGTAGTCCCTGCATGTGGGAACGGCGAATCTCTGAGAGGCATGCCCGGAGTTCTATGTTCCCACAGGGAGATTAGACAGTAGTGTGCAGTTACATCTGCTGAGTCAACTGATAGAAGTAACTTGGCTATAGTTGGGTAAAAGATACAGTGAGCTGTGGGCAAAGACCATTCTGTAAAGAACATACTGTGATCCTAGTTTAGAGTCCTCTGCTTGTAGCTTTTTCAATATACAGGGCAAGGGGGAGGGAAAAGAAAAAGCCTTAATAAAGCGCTGCTGGGCCAGTCTGGATAAGACAGCTGGATCAGAGAGCTTCGGCAGATCTGTGTGTCGTGTCGTTTATTTGAACCCTCGAACCTTCACCTGCATGCCAGCTGTGGTCATCGGGTGGCCATCTGTTGGCTATCCCACCACATAGGGTGGCCCGACTAGCATTGACCAGAGCCTGGGCCTTTTCCATCATGGCTCCAGCTCTGTGGAATGGGCTCCCTGAAGAAGAAGATGATATTGGACTTATACCCCGACCTTCACTACCCAAAGGTGTCTCAGAGCGGCTTACAAATTCCTTTCCCTTCCCCTTCCCCACAACAGACACCCTGTGAGGTAGGTGGGGCTGAGAGAGCTCTGACAGAAACTGCTCTTTTTTCAAGAACAGCTCTTATCAGAACCACAGCTTGCCCAAGGTCATCTAGCCAGGTGCAAGTGGAGGAGTGGGGAATCAAACCCAGTTCTCCCAGATTAGAGTCCGCACACTTAACCACTACACCAAAGAGATGAGGGGAGCCCTTCCCCCTCCTTGGAGATCTTTAATTGTGTTGCAAGGCCTGCCTATTTTTCCTGGACTTTTAAGGAGGTTTGAATGGTGGATCTTTTCACTGCCGGAGGGGAGAGAGATTTGGGATTTGCTATTTTACTTTTGGTTCTAACTGTAAATGTTTTTGACTATTATAAGCGGCCTTGAACCATAAGGAAAGGTTGGGTAGAACTATTTTAATGCATTAATTTATTCTTTCATTGAGCCACAAAACAACATCTGTTGAAGAACCCCTGAGTGCCTGCCCTGGAAGCAGTGATGTATAGAGACACCGTCTTTAGGGTTCTTTCCTTCAGTTATCGCTGCAAGCGTTTTCATTCCACTCATTTTTGTCAATGGCACTCCCAATGCATTTCTTACAACACTTACACATTGTATGCCAAAAATCTGACAGGGAATTAGAGATGAGGGAATAAAAAAACAAACACCAGCATGAAAACTCTTAGGTTTGATTTGCACATGGGAGAAACAAACCTGAAAGAATTCATCACCGCCACCCCTCAAGTTAAACAGCAGGGAAGGAAAAACTCCCCCAATGTCTCAGGGAATTCTGTGGCAAGTTCTAGTATACACACATGATGTTCACATGTGACCCTTGCCAAATGTTAGACTTCAAACCAATCCTGCTTCCCTTTTTAATGTATCCTGGAATAAGCAATCCTGGAGGTTTTTTTGTCATCTGGGCGTGGAACAGCGGTCACTGCGGGTGTGGAGGGGGAGGTATTTGTGAATTTCCTGCATTGTGCAGGGGGTTGGACTAGATGACCCTGGAGATCCCTTCCAACTCCATGATTCTATATTCTTCTGCCTGTGCATTGCAGAAGAAGAAACCTGTCTACCATTACTGATCTTCTCACTGAGGAATCCTCACTAAATCTTTGAGGGACTCCATGTTTCCTGTATTTGAAAAGCAGCCGGTACTGTCGAGGGAGAATCAGTATCTGACCCTCACCTTGTGCTTTATCTCTCACATTTCTGTCAGGCCCTGTTTATCAAGGGGCTCGGGGTGTTTCTCCATTTTTATCTTCAAAACGACCCTGTGAGGTAGTGTGCACTGAACGGGAGAGAGAATGTGTCGCGGGCCCCAAGGTCTGTCCACTGAGCTTTGTGGCTCAGTGGGGATATGAACCTTGGTCTCCCTATGCCTAGTCCAACACACAACGACCACACAAATGAGTGGAGTGGGCCAAGCCAGTCCTCTCACTGAGGGAACAGATCAGTTGGGCTGTGGGGAAACTCAGATTAAAATCCCTCATCTCTTGTCATGCTGGCCGTGGTGGTCTTGGGCTAAGTTGCTGTGTACAGGCTGACCCACCTCATGGGGGATCTTGTAAGCTTGAAGACACAGCTGGATACGCATGTGAGAAATAAGAAATCTCTGCTGGCTTCAGCCTCTGATTCATCTCATTCCAAGCTCCCAATGTGTTTCCACATTTAAAGGTGTTCGTATTGTGGTTATTGGAGGAGCACAAATATTTTTTAAAAGCATCTGTTTTCATCATTGCCATTACTTCCATTAATTTTTCGTTGGTTTCAGCAGCAAACAAAAAAAATGATTTTGTTGTGCTGTTACAGTGTGGAGACTCAGGTTCAAGTCCTCACTCAAGCATTTAACACAGCTCTGTTCCAAGGTGGGCAGGGTGCCAGCTGTCTCTCCTACTGATTCCAGGGACATCTGGTTGGTCTCTGTGTGAAACAAGATGCTGGACTAAATGAACCATTGGTCTGATAACCGCGTGGCTGCTCTCGTGCATTTAGATCCTTATCTATTTGACCTTGATGATTGGAAAGCTTCAATGTCAGTTTCATACCTGAAATCTTCATTCTCTTTCCTCTGACCTCCCTCTTTCTAAATCAGTATGCCAGTACCCGGGGGATCAAATGACATTCATTTAATCACTGCTATTTAATTCCCTTTTGAAGCTGTCCATGCTTGTAGCCGCCACCATTTCCTGTGGCAGTGAATTCCAAGTGTTAATCACTCTTTGGGTGAAGAAGGACTTCCTTTTATCCGTTCTAACCCGACCGCTCAGCAATTTCATGGAGTGCCCACGAGTTCTTGTATTGTGAGAAAGGGAGAAAAGTACCTCTTTCTCTACCTGCTCTATCCCATGCACAATCTTATAAACCTCAATCATGTCACCCCTCAGCCGTCGTTTCTCCTCATGTCACCCCTCAGTCGTCGTTTCTCCTCATGTCACCCCTCAGTCGTTTCTCCAAAGGAAAACAAAACTTGGACATGATTCATGGCCACAGTCACCTTCAGATGATAGAGTTGAAAAACCCCCCACCATTTCCAGGGTAACCAGACACTGGCGTCAAGGAGACATGGCAATATTTTAAAATGACAAACTTGTCACTGGGTCAAGGATGGTTTTAAATATGGGAGGAGGGAGGCTTGTTTATGGAGGGCAACTCTCGGCTGATGCAGAGGTTACTCCCCCCCCCATGATTGTTCCTGGATTTATATATCTGCAGAGCCCCCCGCCCCACCTTGGGCCTCCTTAGCGATGTTCAGCGCTGCTCTTTTCCTCCTGGTGTTCCTGGCAGTGGCCCTGTTCGGCCGGCGGCACACCAGGCTTCTCCGGCCGAAGGGGTGTGGGGACCTGCCTGGCCCTTGGGCCCTGCCCCTCATTGGAAACCTCTCCCACCTGTTCCACCCCGACCTTCCTATCCACTTCCTCAAGTTAACCAAACGGTATGGACCCATCTACCGCCTTCGCTTCGGCAACAAAGGTGAGCTGGGGGGGGGTCCTTGTGGCCAGGAATGAATCTCTTTTGTCCTTAGCCTCCAAAGAGCTCGGGGTGGCTTACTTGGGTCTCTCCCCTTTTATCCTTACAACAGCCCCGTGGGGCGGGCTAGGCTGCGAGAGAGTGGGAAGGTCAGCCATTGAGGCGTGTGCCCCCCCAGTTCTAATCTAGCCCTTTAAGCCCTCCCCACCGCACACAACATTTTGTTTGTGGGGGGGGGGTTTGCTTACGGTGGATCTCTGGCCTGGTTCAGCTACAAAATGGCTGTGGCAGGAGGTGGAGCCAAGTACCAAATGGCTGCCACTATAACCAGAGCAGGGGACGAAGGGGGTACAAAGCTGATGTGGTAGAAACAGAACTGATCAATGTTGTCTGGAGAACACTTGTGATTCTGGGAGTTCTCCAGGCCCCATCTGGATGTTGACAACCCTAGCAGCAGCCGGAGGTCTCTGGCCGGAGACCTTCCTGCCATGCCGCCTGAAATCTTTTAAACTAAAGGCCTAGGACCAAAACAACGTTTGAGTCCAGCAGTGTCTTTAAGACCAACAAGTTTTATTCTGGGTACAAGCTTTCGTGTGCATGTGCGCTTCTTCAGATACAGTGAAACGGACTCCCACAACCGTTATCTAGAAATGAGTGTGGGTCCTTACCTTCCACATGCAACGTTCATGCCTGCCTGTCTAGTGAATTTGTTATCCCACCCTTCTTTAAAGGAGGTCAGAGCACCATGCACAGTTCCATCTTCCTTGCTTTATCCTCACAACAACACTGTGAGGTAGGCTTAGGCTGAGAGGGATTGGCCCAAGGTCATGCACTGCACTGAATTGCATGGGAGACTCAGAATTTGAACCTGTGTCTCTCAGACTGTTCTCCAACACCTTAATCATTATTCCACACTGACTCACTGGAACGACTGAGCTATGGCTAATGCAGATTTCTGATGCTGATGGTAGAGTGGGGTGTCCTGAACTTCCGACAATGGCATTATGTGCCTTTATTTCTTCTGAGGTAAAACCGGAGGCACGTTTGGTTCTAACACACACTTTAAAAATGGGTTCCTAATGTTGGGGTATGCCTCCAGTGTTCCATGTGGCTTGACCTTAGAGCAGTGGCTCATGCAGAGATGCCACAGATGGGTGCCTTGCCTTTCTGTACCTCAAGAGAAGAGTAAATCCTGAGTATCAGAGATTTCCTCCCATTCCTTAAGACAGGAACTCCTAAGACGGAGCACAGATTTGGCCATTCATGCGACCTCTTGGTCGACCCTGAACCACTCACGGGGAGATGGGCATATTGTTTTAAATTTTTATTCTGTGTGACTGCCCTAGGGTTGCCAGCCTCCAGGTGGGGCCTGGGGATCTCCTGTTTTTACAACTGATCTCCAGCTGGCAGAGATCAGCTCCCCTGGAGAAAATGGCTGCTTTGAAGGGTGGACTCTGTGGGCACTGTCCCATGCGGAGGCCCCTCCCCTCCCCAAACCCCGCCCTCTCCCGGCTCCACCCCCAAAGTCTCCAGGTATTTTACAACCCTAGACTGTTCCCCAGTGATTTGGAGGTTTGGGACCAAACTGGACTTTACAGTAACGACAAATCTGGCCCATGGATGCCAGTGCCTTTTTACAGCTCAATTCAGCCCATTTAAAATCCCATGAGGGGCACCGTGTGGCAGGATCAGGCGATTTTGCCTCTCCCCATGTGTCTTTTCAAGTGCCGCAATTGAAATGCCCAGGGGTGGGGTGGGGTGGGGTGGGGTGGAGATTGCCTGCAGTTCTCGAGGCCAAATTCAGCTCCAAAACTGTCCACAGGCCTGTGCGTGTTGTAATGTCCAATTTGGCCTCTAGCTTTCTGGTATTTGTTTGTTTTAACAAATTTCATTCAGTTTTCTCCAGTGAGAGGACCTACAGCAGGTATTTCCCAACCCAGAGCTACCAACCGTATGGGAGACGGAGGAAAAAGCTCTCTACTCACGTTCTCCACCCCATGCATAATTGGAGCTGCGGTGGCTCAAGTGGTTAAGACGCTGAACTGCAGGCTGTGGAAGGTCGGTAGTTCAGCAGTTCGAGACCTGGGTTGCCGCATGACGGAGTGAGCTCCTGTCTCTAGTTCCAGCTCCTGCTAACCTAGCAGTTTGAAAGCAAGAAATTGCAAGTAGATAAATAGGTACCACTTCGGTGGGAAGGTAACAGCGTTCCGTGCGCCTTTGTGTTTAGTCATGCCGGCCACGTGACCACAGAAACATCTTCGGACAGCGCTGGCTCTTCGGCTTTGAAACGGAGATGAGCACCGCAACCCTAGAGTCCGACTCGACTGGCTTTCGAGCAAGGGAACCTTTACCTTTACTTTACCATGTCTCCCCTCAGCCATCTTTTTTCTAGACAGACAAATCCCAGCCTTTCCTCGTATGAATGACTCCCTTAATTATCTCGGCTGCCCTCTTCTGCCCCTTTTCCAGCCCTTTCCTTTCAGAGATACAGTGACCAGAATTACATGTGGGACTCCGAGTCAGGCCTCACCACAGATTTCTACAAGGGGCATGACAATATTTTCAGCTCCTTTTCAAATTAGGCACTGATCTCCAGTCAACAGAACTCGGTCCCCCTGGAGAAAATGGCTGCATTGGAGGGTGGACTCTATGGGCATTGTACCCTGCTGAGGCCCCTCCCCTCCCCAGGCTCCACTCCCAAATCTCCATGAATTTCCCAGCCTGGAGTTGGCAACCCTGTTTCAGGATCACCAGCATGGCAAATGCCTTCTTTGCCACTTTAAAGTTGCCAAGCCAGACGGTCAAGTTAAACAGGAAAATGCCGTGAAATAGGCTCCCGATATCGCCAAATATAAGCTGTATGTTATGTAAAACTTAACATTTATTTCTAAATCCATCTGCTATCTTAGTTCACTATTGTTACTGCGTCATAACTTCTTATCACAAGTTTCCATAATTCCATAACAAACATACAATAGTCATAACCAATGTTCCCTCTAAGTTGTGGAGTCTTGTGAGCCAAAAATTCTACTTTGTGAGCTGCTGGCAGTAAAGTTGTGAGCAGGCAATTTGGTTACTGCATAAGTCAGTTTGCCTTGAAGTCATCCTTCCTGTGCTATGACAAAAATGTGTGAGCTGGAGGCTAAAAAACTGTGAGCCAACTCACACTAACTCAGCTTAGAGGGAACATTGGTCATAACAGTCTTTCATCTAACTTCACGGTGATTCTTCAGCAAACATGAGGAACTGTCCAAGGACGGCTTCTCAAGGCCCGGAGTTACTTTCTTGGTTGAAGAAAGAAGGCAGCAGGCCTCCACAGCAACTTACACAGTGCAAGAACCGCTTCTCAGAGAGGACTTCTACCAACCGAAGGAAACCTTATCAGGCAGGACTCAGAGATGACTTCTACAAGCACCAAAGAGAGAACAAAGGGAGATTCTGCATGGACTTTTCCCTCCGTTGTTTCCCACGTTGGAAGAGAAATTCCCCTCTGCATTGCATGCCGCTTTCATTTTCTTTGATCATCGGGTTTTATGGTACCTTACAGGGGTCGTTTCGTAGAAAAAGAGCTAGGGAACTCATTAGCATAACTCATTAGCATATGCCACACCCCCTGACATCACCGGAGGTGTGTCATAAGGCCACACCCCCTGACATCACCGGACGTGTGTCATAAGGCCACACCCCCCACCCCCAACGGTCCCGGCCGCTGCCGCCGGCCTTGCAGCTCCACTGCCGAGCCCCATGAGGGGCCCGGCGGTGAACCTGCAAGGCCGGCGGGAGTGCAAGGAAGCCCCGCGAAGGCCCTCCCTGGCCCCAGGCAGGCAGGGGTGGGGAGAGGCAGGGAGGAAGCAACTTACCCTCCCTCTTCTCCTGCCTCCTCCTGGCTGAATGAGGGCCGGAAGCGGGGCGGCCGGAAGCAGGGGGCGGGGCTTCGTCATGTGCCCCGCCCCCGTACGTCACCCGGGGGAACTGCGATCCCCCCCGAAATGACCTCTGCTTCTGCATAGATTCATGGCTGTTCAGGGGTGACTTTGCAGTCAGTGCAGCGTTGCCCCGGGGTATTTGAATGTGGTTTTGAGCTGCACCTTTTCCTCCCAGTTGAAAAAATGTGGAGCGAATGCCAGATTCAGAATAGCCCATAGAGAGACAATAGGATCAGTGCCCTCCTATGAATAAGAAATTTGTTTTGTCGATTTATTTATTTATTTTATTATATTTATACCTCGCCCTCCCCGCCAATGGGCTCAGGGCGGCTCACATAGAGCACAAAGTGCATACAGTATACAAAAATTAAAACAGATTAAAATCGATTTCAGCGGATACACATATAAAACACCGAACATCTTGCGTAGCAGAGGGAAAGGCTAGGGTAATGGAAAGATGTTGCCCAACCCCCCGGCGGTCTCTCTCTCTAGAGGAGCGGTGGTGGAAGTGGCCGTGGCGGCTCCTACTCGTAAGCCTGGCGGAAGAGCTCTGTCTTTCAGGCCCTGCGGAACTGCGCAAGGTCCTGCAGGGCCCTGATCTCCTCCGGGAGCTCATTCCACCAGGTAGGAGCTGCCACTGAAAAAGACCTGGCCCTTGTTGCCACAAGCTTGGCCTCCTTAGGGCCCGGGGTCACCAGCCGGTGTTGTGACCCCGACCAAAGTGCTCTTTGGGGAATATATGGGGAAATGCGGCCCCTCAGGTATGTCGGACCCTGGCCATGACAGGCTTTGACAGGCTTTGGAAACCTCAATGGTCAATTAACTATCAGTGAATCATGACTGATTGGCCTCTGAAGAAGTGGATATGCCAAACAAGATAAACGTACCGGGAACTCCTCAAGAAAGAGAATCCAGTCCTTGATAAGCCGTTCCTGGACTGTGTGAGTTGTTGTGGAGGCCTGCTGCCTTCTTTCTTCAACCAAGAAAGTAATCCCAGGCTTTGAGAAGCCGTCCTTGGACTGTTTGCGTATTGGGTGGGGCTGCTGCCTCAGTTCCTCATGTTCATTGAAGAAGAAGTTGGATGAAAGACTGTTATGACTATTGTATGGAATGATGGTGTTGGAAACTTGTGATAGGAAGCTATGACTCAGTAACAATCACAAATTGAGATAGTAGATGAATTTAGAAATAAACAAGAAGCGGGACCCGTGATACTCACAGGGGGGAGTATTCCTAAGGGCTCCCAGCCTGCAGAAGCAGCTCCGCAGGTAAGCCTCCCCCCCCCCAGCCCCCGGGGGCGAGGCCTGAGCCCCTCCCAGCCGCCGGGCCTGCCGATTTCCCACCCCCGGCACCAGCAGCAAGGCCTGAACACTTCCCAGCCACCGGGCCTGCTGATCTCCCCCTGGGCACCGACGGCGAGGCCTAAGCGCCTCCCAGCCGCTGGGTCTGCTGCAGAGTTCCCAGAGCATTCTCTGCGCATGCGCAGGGGACACTCTTTTGGGGGGATTTAAATATCCCCCTTACAGTTTTTAAAACCTTTCAGATTTTTCTGCACACCTGGGGACTGCCACAAGTGTGCAGGAAAATCTCTCTGCCCCCCAAGTGCCCCTGATGTGCGGATTTAGATATCCACATGGAGGGGGCAACTTGGCTATTAGATATATAGATATTTATTTTACATACGATTAAAAAGAGCAGCTTGTATTTGGTTGTATTGGGAGCCTATTTCATGGCATTTTCCCATTTAACTTGGCTGCTCGTGTTGTGAGCCTTTTTCATTTCCTATAGCTTCCAGGTGGTGGCCAGATATCTCCTCTTATTACAACTGATCTCCAGGCGAGGGGGATCAGCTCAACTAGAGAAAAAGGCTGCCTTGGGAGGTGGGACTCTGTGGCATTATACCTCATGGAAGTCCATCCGCTGCCCGAACCCCACCCTCCTCAGGCTCACCCCCCCCCCCCAATCTCCACGAAAAGAACTGGCAAACGTATTGCTGCTGAGGTATCCATTAGTACAATGATCCGCCCTGAGCCCATTCAACGGGAGGGCGGAATATAAATCTGAAAAATAAATTCACTCATGATCTTTTGGCCATTCCAGACCCTATTCCAGATCACAGGAGGTGGTAGTTCCGCTCTATTCTGCTATGGTCAGGCCTCACCTGGAGGACTGTGTCCAGTTTTGGGCACCCCATTTTAGGAAGGATGTTGACAAGCTCGAGCGTGTCCAGAAGAGGGCAACCAGGATGGTGAGAGGGTTGGAATCCAAGCCTTACAAGGAAAGGCTGAAAGAGTTGGGTATGTTTAGCCCAGGAAAGAGAAGGCTTAGAGGGGACATGATTGCAGTCTTCAAGTATTTGAAGGGCTGTCATGTAGAAGATGGAGTGGATCTATTCTCTCTTGCTCCGGATTGCAAGACTAGATCGAATAGGTGGAAATTACAAGGGAATTGATACCGGCTAAATATCAGGAGAAACTGCCTAACTGTAAGAGTGGTTGAGCAGTGGAACAGACTGCCTCAGGAGGTGGTGGATGCTCCTTCGCTGGACATTTTTAAGCGGAGGCTGGATGACCATCTTTCAGGTATGTTGTAGGGCCATCTTTCGGCTACGCTTCTGCAGAGTGCAGGGGGTTGGATTAGATGACCTGCAAGGTCCCTTCCAACTCTAACATTCTATGATTCTATTAGCATATCTTTAAAGTTAAGGATTTTCCACCCTAGTTTCCATCATTTGACACTCAGGCTCAACTTGGCTCTTGTCTTGCTTTCCATAATCCTGTTTTGAGCTGTATGACTTTTGACGGGGGGGGGGGGGGTGGGCGTTGTCACATGCCGGAATGCTTTTCCAAACAAAAACCTATAACAATTCCAGTCACAGAGACAACTGGAATGTCTAAGCATTGGGTTGGCCTGTGCAGCTTAAAAAACACATACCCTATTTCTTTTCAACCTTCTCTTTTTCTTCCTGGCTAGATGTGGTTGTGCTGAACAGTTCAGAACTAATCCGGGAGGCGCTGATGAGGAAATGGACCGACTTTGCAGGGCGTCCTTACAGTTTTATTGGTAATCTTCTCCCCCCCCCCCTTTTTTTGTACAGCTCTCTTTCCGCTGAATGGGGTTTGCACAGGATATCTCCCTGGAGGGCACTGTGACCCAGATTGACTAAGAGGGATGGGAAGGACACTTTGGGTTCCCAGAATGCCCGAGAAGCCGGGCCTTGTAAGATATGTAAACAACTGAAAAGGGGATGATATAAATGGCCATAATATCAGTGAGGGTGGGGATGCATTTGGAAAGTCTGTTGGATAAGATGCTGGCTGGGTGAAAAGTGAACGTAAGGTCAAATCTGCAGGCTTTTGAAAAGCTGCCTTCTACCGGGTCAGAGAATTGGTCATTCTAACTAATTATTATCTGTTCTGAGGGAGAAGTGAGCAGTGACTCACAAAAGTTCATACCCTGCCACAAATTGTGTTAGTCTTTGGTTCGAACAGGGCCTCTCTGGCCTACAGGCCCTGCTCCACCCTGCCTTCCAAGGTTTTTCTCAACACCTGGAGAGGCTTTTCTTTCTCTCTCGAGTAACTCACCACCACCACCTGATATTTGTAAGAAGAAGAAGAAGAGATTGGATTTATACCCCACCCTTCACTACCCAAGGGAGTCTCAGAGCGGCTTTCAAACTCCTTTCCCTTCCCCTTCCTGTGAGGTAGGTGGGGCTGAGAGAGCTCTTGACAGAAACTGCTTACGGCTTACCCAAGGTCAACCAGCAGGTGCAAGTGTAGGAGTGGGGAATCAAACCCGGTTCTCCCAGATTAGAATCAGCGCACTTAACCACTACACCAAACTGACCCGCTAGGAGAGTCAGGACTCCCAGTTTCCTTTTCAAGTTCTGGAGCCTTGTCTCTGTGTCTCCTGCTGCCCAGCACTTGGTCACCGCAGGGACAGTTTACTGCCTTGTGAGCCCCTGGAGGAATAGCTGCTTGCCAACTGACTGCCTTCCCCCTGGCACTCCTTTCAAAATAGTGTGTCCAAGACATTGGAGGTCTATGTGGTACAGAGAACCACCACCAGCACCAGAAGTTATAAAGTATTTATTAAAGGGAAAATGTTCACACGCATACCCTTAGCACAGCACCAGATAGAGCAAGGGATTCAAAAGAAATGAGTAAAATGCAAATCCTCTGTCCCTCGCCCTCTCTATATGCCCTATCAGATATTATAATATAAGACTAGCCCCTTTGCTTAGGAAGTTACAGATCTCTACAGAGTTTACATTACTTTGAAGTTTTCTCCAGCTCTTCAGGACAGTACATGGTTAAATGGCCTCCTCCTCCAGACCTCAGTTAAGAGTTCTGTCTGCTCTGATGGACTCAGCACAAAAGGGACCTCCTCCTTGCTGCAAGGAGTTTTTATCATACCCCACTAACCAGGTCAGGCTTGGTCAAAAAAGGAAACTTTTCTTGAAGCCTCCAGAAAATACCTTCCTGCAGTCTCTCTAGTATTTAATTCCTCCAGATCTCTGATCCCTGCTTTTGGGGGGGGGGCCTTGACCATTCCATTGTCTAGAACTATTAGCATTTGTATGAAAGTGGACTGAGGTGAGCCTGGAAAGCCATTGACTGACTGCATCCTCCCTGCTTGTTCTCTGCCCAGAGAGGGGGGGGGGGACCTTTCCGAATTCAGAGCGGAGGTTTTGCTCATTTCATACCTCCAAAGGAGAAATGCATTTCTTCCCAGTCTTCTAGGTGCTACTGGACTCTTGCTCTTTTCTACAGCGGCTCTAGCAGGTTCTGCCGCCTTTGTGTGTCATGGTTGTAACCTTTCTCCGCTGCTTTTTTCCTGCATTTGGGGGGCTCAAAGCAGCTTACAGAATAAATGCAAGAATACCAGACACGCACATCCTTTAATGATGTTGCAACATCCCCAAATAGCGTTAATTTTATTAGTGTGGCTACAGATGACACAGGCTGAGAGCTGTTGCCTTTCGCCTGATGCCTCTGGTCATGCCTGGGTCAAATCTTTGCAACAGGAAAGGATCAGCCCAAAACGTCAGGGTTGCTGGACTCTGCCCGGCAACTGGCAGGACCATTGTGGGGAGGGTTGAGTCCCAGGACGAAAATCAAAAAGAAAAACAGGGCCTCGTCTACTTACAGGAAGTTCTGACCATAGAGTTCCTGGTGATTCCTAGAGCTATCCTAGTAGACAAGGCCTTCCCAGAAGCGGGCTCAGGGAGGGTAACAGCATATCATGTATACAAAATATAGTAGTTAATATGATAACATGACAATTTAAAACATCATCATAATATTAAAATGGTGGTCACATGGAGAGAAAATAGTGAGGGTCTGATAGCTGCTGCAGTCTTTGACGTCTCCTTTTTTTCGAAATTGGAATGTAGAATGACGGCTTCCAGTCTGTGGGCCATTGTTTTGCTTTCCATAGTTGTTGGCATGTTCTTGTTAAGGTTTTGATGGACTCCACTTCTGTGGCTTGGAATAGCTCTAAGGTAAGCTTAACTGTGGTTAAAGCTGGAGGAGGGAAGGCAGCCTTCTCTTGCTCCATTAACCAGGGTTAAGGATTCCCCAGTGTTACATCTGTTCAGGGCGTGGTGTGTCACTGCTTTTTCTTAATAGTGGTACTGCCTAAGTTCTTCCTAGATGCTAAAATGACTAAACTGAGGCTTCTGGTTGCTAGGCCACCATGCGGGTTGTAAGCCCCCACTCCCGAGCCCTACCCCTGCTGCCAATTAGCTGGGCAGCGGTAGGACTTACCAGCAGCAGGGAAGGGCCTATGCCAGTATCGCTGCGACTTCACTGCCAACATCGTTTTCAGTGCACACCGGAAGTGACTTCATCACCTGTGCCATGGGACTGTCTGGTATTTGGGCCAAAACTCGATGGTAAATAGGGCTTTCTGATCTCTCTCCTTTGTTTTCTTTGCAGCAAATCTTATTTCATTTGGAGGCAGGGACCTGTCCTTGGGCGACTACACACCGGCCTGGCGGTTACAAAGGAAACTGACTCACATGGCCTTTCAGCGCTGCCTGCGAGGAGACATGGAGCAGACTGTTAGCAGCCAAGCTCAGCTTCTCTGCCAGGTGAGCCTTCGGAAGGGACGGCTTGTTGTGCCCCTGTGAAATCTCTTCTCCTTCTTCCCAGCCAACATCTTGAACAAACCAAGCACCCAAGGGGGCATGCGCACATGTCGGTGTACAGGAAAAAAACCCACCCGTTTGCTGCAGTGCGCCACTTCTTTGCCGCGCCGCAGGATTGTGGTGTGATCGGCACCTCCCCCCTACCACGGGACCTCCACGGGATGTCTGCTCGCGCAACCGTGCATTATTTTGCCCCGGGGCAAACAGCCATGCTTCCCCCCACCCATTTTCCTGCCCATGTGACCGCAGCCACAAATAAATAAATGCAAACGCACGCATAAGGAAAGCCCCGGTAGTAATATCAGGATCTCACAGCAGTGGTTCGTGGGTCACCGCTGAAAGTCAAAGTCCAGGGTCAGGTGAAGGTAATTCAAAGCTGAAGTGGAAAAAGCAGTCCAAAGTCTGGGGTCAGGGGACATATTCCAGGGACAGTTCAAGCAGCCAGGTTCCAGGACTGAGCGACAAGCTGGCCAGGCATCTGTTGAGCTAGTCAGCAAGACTGCAGACAGGTCGATCCCACACTGGCTCCAGCCTCCCTGTAGATTTCTATGCACAGTCAGGTGATGCCGGGTCCCTTGGTCAGCCAAAGTCAATACTATCTACTCAGACTGACAGTGGCTCTCCAGGGTCTCAGACTGAGGTCTTTCACTTCACCTACTGCCTGGTCCTTTTCACTGGAGACTCTGGGGATTGAACTTGGGACCTTCTGCGTGCAAAACAAATGCAGAAGAAGAAGAGATTGGATTTATACCCCGCCCTTCACTACCCAAAGGTGTCTCAGAGCAGCTTACAAACTCCTTTCCCTTCCCCTCCCCACAACAGACACCCTGTGAGGTAGGTGGGGGCTGAGAGAGCTCTTGACAGGAACTGCTCTTTTTTCAAGAACAGCTCTTATCAGAACTACCCGGTTCTCCCAGATTAGAGTCTGTGCACTTAACCACCACCACCAAACTGGCCACACCAAACCAAATGCTCCACCACTGAGCCACATCTCCTCCCCTCCCCTCTCAGGGTGTCTGCTGTGGGGAGGGAAGGGAAAGGGATGGTAAGCCGCTCTGAGACTCATTCGGGCAGTGAAGGGCAGGGTATAAATCCAATCTCCTCTTCCTCCTCCTCCTCCTCCTCTTCTCCTCCTCCTCACGTTAGGCTCCTCTACCAGCTGAGTCAGCTCCTCTACTTATGAGGAGTAGTGGGACACAGTTTCCTGTCAGGTCCTGTTAGTCTCTTCAGGTACTTTCTCAGCAGTGGAAGGGAGGCCTTGGACCGCCAACTACTTTCTCAGCAGTGGAAGGGAGGCCTTGGACCGCCTGAACTGGGCCTCAATCCTGACTCTTGGCACTCTCTGCTCCTGGAGTGCTGGGGGAGACCATGGCGGGCCAGGCAGTCCATGCTGGGGCCTCCTGACCTCAGGGCTGTACTGGCTGAGAGGCTGGTGATGGTTCCTGCAAAGGGTCCCCTCAGGAAGACCCTGAGGGACCCCCCCCCCTCGCTAGAAAGGTCTTTCATGGACGGACTCGCAGGCAGGTTCTCCTCCTCCTAGGAGGCCTCACTGTCCCATGCTGAGCCGGGGTGGTCTGTGACACATCCTGAGCTGCTTGTTGGGCTGAGTGGGATACTGTTTTCTCTCAGCTGCACTCCGTTTTTTTAAACATTTTAACAATCTAATTGATTTTGCTGTTTTTCTGTCGCTTTTATAGTTGGTTTCCTGATTTTTTTTGATCGTGAGGACTCCTTTCCCATCAAGGAACAGCCTCTCATCCCCCATAGAACTTGTATGTGTTGCAAAGGTTTCTGGGAAATACTCCTGGCCACACACTCTGTTGGCCAGGCCTGTTGGGAAGAGAACAAGAGGAGCTCTCAGGAATGCACAAGAATCAGTTCTCCAAGGCCTGGCTCATGCCCCCAAGACTGAGGCATCTTCTGAGCGTAAATCTGTTGAGCCTTGATACACTGAAAGTGCAGACCTAAGCATATACTCTTCTGTAGGCTTCTGCCTTCCTCCTTGTATCAGTTTCGTGAGCTGAAACAGCCAGGGAAAGATCACAGAAGCCTCCCAACAGGGCGAATAACACCCTTCCCACACAGTTCTTGTGTTGTTTCAGCTCCTGAAAGAGAGCCAGTTTGGTGTAGTGGTTAGCAGCGTGGTCTCTAATCTGGGAGAACCAGGTTTGATTTCACACTTCTCCACATGCAGCTGCGGTGTGACCTTGAGTCAGCCAGTTTGGTGTAGTGGTTAAGTGCGCGGACACTAATCTGGGAGAACCGGGTTTGATTCCCCACTCCTCCACTTGCACCTGCTGATGTGACCTTGGGTCAGTCACAAGCTCTGGCACAGCTGTCCTTGAAAAAGAGCAGTTTCTGTCAGAGTTCTCTCAGCCCCACCCACCTCACAGGGTGCCTGTTGTGGGGAGGGGAAGGGAAAGGAGTTTGTAAGCCGCTCTGAGACGGCAAGTGAAGGGCAGGGTATACATCCAATCTCTTCTTCTTCTTCTTCTTCTTCTTCTTCTTCTTCTTCTTCTTCTTCTTCTTCTTCTTCTTCTTCTTCTTCTTCTTCTTCTTCTTCTTCTTCATAAGTTCTTTCAGAGCTGTTCTCTCAAGGGCAGTTCTCGAGAGAGCTCTCTCAGCCCCACCCACCTCACAGGGTGCCTGTTGTGGGGAGGTGAAGGGAAAGGAGTTTGTAAGCCGCTCTGAGACTCCAAGTGAAGGGTGGGGTATAAATCCAATCTCCTCTTCTTCTTCTTCTTCTTCTTCTTCTTCTTCTTCTTCTTCTTCTTCTTCTTCTTCTTCTTCTTTTCTTTCAGAGCTGTTCTCTCAAGGGCAGTTCTCGAGAGAGCTCTCTCAGCCCCACCTACCTCACAGGGTGTCTGTTGTGAGGAGGGGAAGAGCAAGGAGTTTGTAAACCACTCTGAGACTCCAAGTGAAGGGCGGGGTATTAATGCAATCTCTTCTTCTTCTTAAAACAGTGTTGGGGTGGGGAGGCAGGAGTTCCTCCATCCCCTGCGTCACAGTACTGATCTGAATTGGGCCCCTGCTGGACTTGTGCGCAGGAGTTGCCCACAGGGATGGCTGTGGTATGGCCGTGATTGCCCACAGCAAACTTGCGTGATGTGTAACATGTAGTTCGACCCTAAATCAAAGGGTTTAGAAGGGTGTATCTCCGCTTTGGATTGCACTGAGCTCCTCATGCACCTGCAAGATTGCCTTTCTCTTTACACTGGCCATAAAAAATAGGGCTGCCAGCCCTCCACTGGGGGCAGGGGACCCCCCCCCACGTCCTGGGCCTGCCCCCTGCTGGCAACGCAGCAACATCACTCGTGGCGTGCACTGGATGTGGCATGATCACATGGCTAGCGATGTGAGGACGCTCTGGGTATTTGGGCATAAACTCTGTGGTAGAAATAGCTTCTACTGTAGAGTTCTGGCCCAAATACCAGAGCATCCTACATCACCGGTGACATAATGATGTCACTTGTGGTGCACATCTGAGGTGATGTAGCCACGCCACTGGAGAAAGTGGCCTAGACCTCTCCCCATCCCCCCCAATCATTACAAAATATGACTCTCACAAATCTCCTCCAGGATGGAATTTCGGGGCGGGGGGACCACCATAAAAAATGCCTGCTTCCTAGTACCGCCCAGCAGATGGCCTATGTTGGTTTAATATGCATAACATAAGAACATAAGAGACACCAATGTTGGATCAGGCCAATGGCCCATCCAGTCTAACACTCTGTCACACAGTGGCCAAAAATACCAGGTGCCATCAGGAGGTCCACCAGTGGGGCCAGGACATTAGAAGCCCTCACACTGTTGACCCCCCCAAGCACCAAGAAGACAGAGCATCCCTATCTATACCTTGTGGCTAATAGCCCCGATGGACCTCTGCTCCATATGCATAACTTTCACAGGGTCCAGATCAGTGTTCCCTCTAAGCTGAGTTAGTGTGAGCTAGCTCACAGTTTTTTAGCCTCTAGCTCACAGATTTCTGTCTTAGCTCAGGAAGGATGGCTCCAGAGCAAACTAATTTATGCAGTAGCCAAATCGCTCGCTCACAACGTTAATGCCAGCAGCTCACGAAGCAGAATTTTTGCTCACAAGACCACAGCTTAGAGGGAACATTGGTCCAGATCTCAGCTGGGTGCAGAACAGGGTTGCCAGCTCTGAGTCGGGAAATACCCACAGACTTTGGGGGCGGAGCCTGAGGAGGGCGGGGTTTGGGGAGGGGCTTCAATGGGGCGGAATGCCACAGAGTCCACCTTCCAGAGTGGCCGTTTCCTCCAGGGGAACTGATCTCGGTCGCTGGGAGATCAGTTGTAATCCGAGGAGGTCTCCAGCCACCACCTGGAGGTTAAGTAGCCAATATTCAGTCCTTATCCTTCTCAAAAAATGCCAATGGATTATAGATAGTACTCATTCTACCACCTGGAGGCTGGCAGAATTTGGATTCCAGGGGGCTGATATTCAGCATTACCTCACAGGATCCTCAGCCTAGGGTAGAGGGACTAGAAATCCACTTTTTAAAAAACACACAAAATGGCAGGCAATCTTTCCAGGAGCACCCAGCCAAGGACGTCAGTAGCCTCCTGCACAGAGTTCTGGTGGTGTCCTCACACCCCACTTGCCTGTCTTCCGGTTCTCCTCAGGTTTTCCGTGGTTATGGGGGGCAATCCGTGGATGTGGCCCATGATTTTTCCTTGCACACCTGCTGGGTCATCTCTACCGTGATGTTTGGACCTTTGGTGAGTCACGGGGAAAATCTGGCAAAGAACGATGCATAATTTCTCTCTCTCTCTCTCCGCTTTCTCCCAAGCAATCTCCCAGTCCACCTTTTCCAGTTTGGTGTAGTGGTTAAAGAGCGGTGAAGTCTAATCTGGAGAACCGGGTTCGAGTCCCCACTCCCCCACATGAAGCCAGCTGGGTGACCTTGGGTCAGTCCCTGTTCTCTCAGAGCTGTTCTCTCACGAGCAGTTTCTGTCAGAGCTCTCTCAGCCCCACCTACCTCACAGGGTGTCTGTTGTGGGGAGAGGAAGGGAAGGAGATTGTAAGCCGCTCTGAGACTCCGAGTGAAGGGCAGGGCATAAATCCAATCTCCTCCTCCTCCTTTTCTTTTCTCCTCCTCCTCCTTTTTTCTTGTTTTTCCTTCTTCTTCTTCCTGTTATGTCTCTTGCACTGTTCTGGGATGCCCCCGCTGTCTCCCAAACAGGGACTCCATCTTTCCCAGCTGGACTCTTCTCTTTCTTCTGCTGCAGGACGAATCTGTCGTTAAAGAAATTCATGACTATACCATTGAGCTGGTAGACAAATGGGGTGCCATTTCCGTACAGGTTCTCGATTTTCTGCCCATCCTTCGGGTAAGGAGAGGTGCTGGTTTGAGACCTTGACTGACTTTGCTTTGGGTCAGTTTAATCTCCTCTGGTTTTTTGTTTGTTTGTTTGTTTTAAATCTGGTTAAAGGAAGCTTCGTGACAGCCCAACTGTCCAAGAGCTGAGCTAGCTCAATCAGAGCACGATACTTTCATTTGCGTACAGCTCAGCCGACTCACTTTGCCAAGCTCTGTGCTTCTCAGCCTCCCTCCCTGCACATCTCCTCTGCTATTTGTTTCAACATATCGTTCATCTGTAAAATGCAGAAATAGAACACATCTTGAGGTGACTCAGCAGGC